GGGGGGGGAGCGGATGTTCCCCCATGGCCACCCCATTTCCCTGCCTCCACCACTGGGCAGCCAGAGCTGTGCTGCCAGGGGGGAAGGGGTGGATGGAGGGGTTTTTTTGGGGGTGATGGTGGGGGAAATGTTTGCAGGCATTGCCAGGCATAGCTTTACCCAGTCACTTGGGGAGGTGTTGCCATCATGCAGCCGCCTCTCCACAGTTAGTTAGCAAAGTCGAAACAATGCTGTGGTTATTAACGGTGCACTAATTATGCTCATGTAGCTGGAAAGCTCAGGTGCCCCTACTCACTCCCACAGCTGCTTCCTAGCTAGCCAGAAGCTTGGTCTCACTGGTAGCAGGGAGGAGGCCACTTCTGGAATGGGTGGAAAGGCAACACCAAACAGAGAAAGGACCAAAATGGTGTTGGGTTGTCCCTCGCATGAACGGTGGCAGGGGGTAGGTCTGCGCCTGGGCATCGTGTGGGGTGCAGATGGATGCCATGATGAGGGAACGCCCCCACAGCCCCCAGAGCTGTGCTCCTTCCCTCCCACCCATCAGGCACTGGGGACACAGTGCCACTGGAGAGGTGGCCCCTGGGGAGGGCAGGCTCTGGTGCCACCCATGTATCACCTCAAAGCACCAAACCGCATCACTTGTCATGCCCATGTTTTGGAAAGGTACAAGGAGGAAAAGAGTCCCTTCCCCACCTACAGCACAAGCAATCTCAAAAAGAGCGATTTTTCTTGTTTGCTGTCCACCCCCCAGCCCCAGCCAGCAAGGAATGACTCTGCTCCTGGCAGGACCGGCATGGCCCTAGGGTAGACCTGTGCTCACCAGCACTATAAGGCTCAGTCTGACCCAGACTCACTGTCTGAGCCCCCCCATGTCCCTCCTGGGAGTAAGGACCATGTCACAGGGCAGACAGCATCAGAAGTGCGCAAAGCACTTGCAGGGGAGGTTTAGATTGGATGTAAGGAAAAATTTCTCTACTGAAAGAGTGGTGAAACATTGGAACAGGCTGCCCAGGGAAGTAGTGGAGTCCCCATCCCTGGAGGTATTTAAAAGACGTGTAGATGAGGCACTTAGGGACATGGTTTAGTGGGCATGGTGGTGTTGGGTTGATGGTTGGACTCGATGATCTTAGAGGTCTTTTCCAACCTCAATGATTCTATGATTCTATAAGCCGGATGACAAGCATCCCCCCCACCCAGGGCAGCAGCTGGGGGATGCAGCATTACACTGTACGTGTGTCCTCCTGTCAGCACGGGAAAGTGCAAGCGCCATCACCTCCAAAAGGCCATTTACTAATGAGAAGCGAGGCCCAGATACTGCACACAACCATTCATCCAAAGCACAAAAGTTAATAGCCTATTTCTCTCCATAGGGCATTCTCAGAGCACATTATAGGGGCAAAAGGCACCAAGCCACAGCTGAAGGGCCGGAGCCCACAAGATGACCTTGCAGATAGAGGGGATATTGACTGGTACATGTACAATTTCTCCACCATCTCATACACGGAGGCTTTCGGCAGCCACAACCACACAGGCACTTGTAAGTGACCAGTGGTGATCAGTGCGGGTATCCCCTAACAGGGTTTACACCACAGAAGTGCATTTCGGTTTGTGTAGAGGACGGGGAAGGCAGCAGCTGGCTGCACGTCCAGGTAAGCTGTTCACAGCAGCATCACCCTGCTCCTTCCATCTAACATCCGAGCTCCCTCTGCTTAAGGGGCATGTACAAGGAGGACCTGGAAAGCATCCTTACACCACTAGCCCTTCTGCAGGGGTTGTTTTGCTGTTTCTTACCCCAAAAGAAAAATTCAGCAGTCTGTGGGGTCAGCCTCAAAATTGCATCCCCCAAACAGCGAGAACCGAAGCAAAGGGGAAAGGATGCTTAAAGCATTCAGCTACTGGGTCCTAGCATTAATAAACAGCTAAAATCTTCCATGTCCTCAGGGATCCAGGGAAGATTAAGTATCTCACTTAAGGACAAAACATGACAGATTGCCTTTGTAATAGTTCTCTCTTTGGAGAATCTCCTTTGATTTTGTGACGGATTAAGCTAATCGGTTTGAAAGCAAAGACTCATGCAGCTGCTGACCCGCAACACAGATAAACCACCTTATCAGCTTTCCCAGAAGAGCAGATCTTCAGGCAAGGAGCAGCGCCATGAAGGCTGACCGCACCCACAATGACAGAGGGGATGTCCCCAAAATCACCCCAGAGCTGAGGAGAGGAGATAGCTTGTCACCAGTCAGGAATCACCTTACATTATGGTAACTATGCCATTACAGAAACAACCGGACATGGTTATTTATACAAGCATTCCAACATGTGGCTTCCAAACCAGCTATAGGGCAATCTTTCCTCTGCGATGGTAAATGAAAGACCTGAAATCCCACTCCAGTTCTAGAGTGTAAGCTAAAGAAAAAAAAAAAAAAAAGAAAGAAAGGGGGAAACACCTTGTTTAAACTAATCTAGCTTGGTCTGACCATAACAGAGTGAGAATTCACACAAGCTCTTCATTTGGCAGATGCGTGGAGGCAGTACCTGTGGCAGAGGGGCAATAAGGCAGAGTAACACGTTCCAGCAACACCACTGAACCTGGCAGGACACGTGTCCATAGCCCAGCACATCGGTGCTAGCACATTTTATTCCACTTCCACAGCAGTACACTGCAATACTGCATGGAGACACCTGTATTAGCCTTAAACAGATTCCAGTACTGGACAGCCCATGTTCACCAAGCTGCACACACAGGCTTGCTTTGTCTTACTGAGAAGTCTAGTGAGTTACCCCAAAGAGAAATCTACTACTTTGGTATTATCAGGATTGTGCTTGCTCATCTTGCTGCTGAATGACATCCTGATTGCCCCTTCAGGATTTTGTGACAATCACTTAGAGGCTTTTGTGCTCCGATACTCACCCTAGCTAGAGTCTTCTTCCTCGTAGATTGTAAGTGAGCTAAAAACCACATTGAGACGTCAAACTTTTTTTCAATTAAAAAAATCACTCTATTTCATTACCAGGTAGAGTTTCATTCCAGTAAGGCTCTTATATATAACTTACATATTTATTTTAATAAAAAGAAATAAATACTTCTCTTTTCACATTAGATAACTCCTTGGAGACAGAAAAAAAAAAAACCCAAACAAACAACAAACCAACCCCAACTACAGGGGCTTCACTATGGATTTGTTACAAATCAAAAGACAGTAAATGCTTTCTTTCTATGGTCATCACAAATCCAGTTTTAGGAATCAAGTAGATCGTAGATATTCCAGAAACAGAAGACGACTCTCCTTGAGGAAACAGTAGCTAAGCACATTGTCGTTGGGAAGGTAAGTTCAGCTAACACAACTGTTACCACCACCACAGATGAGAGTCCTATTTGTCCATAACGTGGCCACGTGTGCTGTGAGGTATGAGCATCCATCCCAACGATGGAGGTTCACACCATTTGATCTTAACCGTTCCCTTGGCGAGGTCACAGCAATCGTTCTGGCTTGCACTTAAGGTGCATTAGCTAATTTCAAAGAGAGTTACCGTCTCAACTTAACTGCTTCATAGCCTAAAGAGGAAAATTTGTGTGCCTGCTGCCTTTTCAAATAAGGTATTAGAAAAGTAACTTAAATAAGAGTTAAGTCACCCCAAGGTGATCACAGTGTTACTCTAATAGTGCATGTCTCAGAGCAGCTGCTGATGGATTATTTCCCACACCATCTTCTTGCGGAAGTAAGGCATGTGATTCTGAAAAGAAAAATCCATTAAATACAAAGTCATGGCAGAAAGAGGCAGAAAATATGCATGAACACCTAGTTAATTCTTTAATGTGAAGATCCTTTTAAGAACTGTCAACACTTGCCATTTGGGTACAACATGGGTTTCACCCACCCAGCTCCTAAGAGGGTGACATGACAACCCAATAAAACCAGATGTACTTGACTACGCAACAGCTTACAAGCACTTTAACAAAAGACCACTGCATTTGAAAATAACCAGTGTCTTAACTGGTCAAAGGGTGAAACCCATTTCTCCAAAAGATACAAAGGCCAGATATCACAAACCCACTGGCTGCAGTATCTTGCCCAGGAGGAATCCCACTGATTCAACTAGGAAGCAGACACCAGACGTAAGGATGGAGAATACAGCTCTGCTCTGCTGAGGCCACTTTGAAGTTCCAACCCCAGCAATCATGCACCAAAAATGGAGAGAGGTACGAAACCTCAGCCCCTGCCCCAGACACAATTAACAGCTGCTGCATAACTTCCCTGGCTCTTGTATCTGTGCGAAAAAGTCTGGAGCTGTTTATAACCTTCACTCACCTGCGTAAAGGTTATCGGTTTGTCTCTGGAGATATAATCTGCGTATTTGCACATAAAAACCCCGCAGTCGCTTCCATTCAGTTGCTGAGGGATTTCCTAATGAATGCAAAGAAGGTGGAGAATTTTCCTCTATCTTAAAAGAAAAGCAATTTGGAAGTAGCACACATTACCCATACCAACAATATGCTAACCAGACACTCGTGAACTTCCTTGCATACTCCATTTACCACTCCCAAACACAAGGAATAGACCCAATTAACTGCACCTCATCCCTCCTCTCTGCTTCCTTTACTTGGATGTTACAATCCAAATTCTTGGCAGGCTGATAAAGGATAGCAGCCTTTCTCCCTTCAAGGTGTCTTGAGGTTTGCACAGCATCGTGTTTCTTAAATCGAGTCTTTAGATAGTGCTTTTTACTATTAACTTGTTGAGAAACATCAGCTCAAGCCTTTGCTTTGTCACATGCCAGGATTTTGCTCCAAACAAGAAGCCTACGTTCTCTGACAACAGCTAAACAAATTTTTAAATTTGACTTGCAAAATGGGGGCAAAGCCAGATTCACCTTAATGTGGCAGACTAATTAAAAAAAAGAAAGTATTCAGCCAGCAAGGAGAGGCACTGCTTAAAGATTTCGTCCCAGCACAGTTTCCTGGTCCACTTGCAGCCTGTTGTGGTACTGTAAGAACATGAGATGCTTATGGCCATTCTCTAAAGGCTTGGACTTATCAGAAAGCGTTAAGACCTTCGTGATGAGGAGTTATAGTTCACATTTCAAATCCAAGTAGTGCTCACATACATGTGACTCCATGCTGCGAAGAGTCCACTCTGAAAAAGTCAGCTCCAGATTTCTTTTTTCCCGGCTTTCTTCTTGCAGGTATTGGCTGTTTAAAACAAAACAAAATCACTCTCCATCTCCGTAATTTAGGCCAACAAAAAAAGAGCTGCTGAAGGATCACAGGGAGATGAATGGCAGGACAGTAAAATGTCAGAGGATCCTCACAGCAGCTGATTTAAGGCATTTGGAGGAAAAATCCAAAACTTAAGTTTACAAACACAGCGAGAGGCTGCGAGCTAATGGTCAGGAATGAGACCAACAATTCCAACAGAGGCTTCCAGAAAAGTGTAAGCTCATTGCTTAGTAGAGGTCAAAAAACCCCCAATCACATGTTATCAGAGGAAGAAGAAAAACCAAGCAAGGAACCATAATGCCATAATTCCATCGTGTGCCTTAATCCCACATACTGGGTGCACGTCCAGAAAAACAAATACAAAAGCTTTTGGGCTAATACCTCTGGCTGAGGAAGTTCCCAGGCCACCAGTGGCCAGAATAATACTCTTGAGGAAAAAATTATTTGATGCAGACCTGTTCTTATACCCTTTCCCAGGTATCTGCTGTTAACTGTTCAGGAGAGCACTGGACTAAACCAACACTTGGCTTATCTCTGTGGGGCTGCTCTCCTCTTGGTCTACAAAGCTATTGGACTAAGGGCTTTTACTACTTCTGCATCAGTGGCAAAGGCATCTAAGGATACTGGCTTGCACAACATAAAAAACTGTCCCTGTTACATCTGACATGTGTGCCATGTCAGCTGATATATCCGGAAAAGCTCGCTACAAGACATCTGTCTTGAATGAAAATGTCAGAAATACAAATAACACACAGTAAGGACACAAGGGTAGCCTGCTGGGGTAAGCTGGAGGGAAATACGGTGGTTTTGTTTAAAACACTGAACAGAATAGAAGAGGTATAGACAAACTGAGAAGGAGCATGTTACAGAGCTCACTACAGTAGAAAGGACGAACATTACGAGTGGGGAGGGAAAAGGTCTCAATACAAGAAAAGGATAAAAGAGCTAAGCAATAAAGAGTAAAAGTGTACGATCACAAATAGGAGTGCATATACCCTAGGACACCAACATTACTGAGTCGCAATCTGAAAGTTCTTAAAGAAGGGGGAGTTAAAAAGCTCTTGGAAAACTGTAATCCTTTTACAGTCAGGTTGGTATTTTGAAACACTTCCCTGAAATTCTTCCCTCTTGTCAACAGCCCAGTTTTACCGATTACTAACAAAGTCAGTGCATGTGTGCCACGGGGCTATCATGTATTTGACAGTGATGCTTTGTCTGTGCATATAGTGGGAAAGTGGCAGAATCCAGGCATCCAGGACCCTGGGTGGAGGGGACGATATGAGACTATGTAAGTAGTCAATGTCACATAACTCGCAGCAAGCCAATCAAAGATTTCTGTTTCGTTATCTGCAAGAAATGCGAAAACTTGCAGTTGTGTTACAGGGACAAAATCCAAAAACCTTCTCATAATTCACAACATAAAAGCAGTGACTGAACAGTTACTTACAACAAAGTTTCACAAATCTTGTCCCCTTTTTGTCCCATTGAGTCAAAGTATTTGATGGTCTTCTTTCTGACATCTATGACCTGTTATTAAAAGGTGACTGTTAGACAAAGCACAACCTTGTCTTGCTAGGTTTTTTCTCCCCATCCAATTCTAAATAAAAAGCCAGTTTGACTCACCACTAGTGCCCAGTGCACTCTCAAGTGAATGGGCACTAAGATGAGGTCCTGCTTGAAGAGATCCACACCTCTGGTCCATCTTCTTACTGCTCTGTAGCCCCCAGAAATTAGTTTGGGATAAAAGAAAGTACTAAAAGCATGGACTGCTGGATACCCTTCCTTCTTATTTCTTTCCACCAGAAGACTCATGTAGAAATTAATGACCTGTACCATAAAGAGTAAACTTGAGATGTAAAATAAGACACTAGCTTACCAAATGAAAAATACAGCAACATGTCTTTGCTGGCCACCCTTAAGTACGCAGCTGAGAGAACTCCAGCCTCAGCTGTCAGCTTTTGTTCTGAGAATTTTGCACTTGGTTACTTCTGCAGTTTGATAAAAAATGCCTGCCATCCACTCCAATAACCTAGACTAACTCCTGGAAGCTGTATTAATACAAGAAGTAAAGGAACTTCCAGAAACACTAGACCCTTAAGTACCTAAAATAAGAACTGTACAGATATTTCTAGGCTCTGCAGTGGAGGTCATCAAGTAACTTTGAAGAGACTTCTGTCCACAGTGAAGGGGTATTTTTAAATAAATGCTGAGTTAGAGTATCACTGTGCTGCAGCTAGTTTTACCTCATCATTTAGCCAGCGAAGGTTCTTTAGCGTGTGGATGTCCTCACGAGTGACCTTTAGTTTGAAGGCACTGCTCATGATTTCATCTGGCTCACCTTTGCCAAATGCAGCAATGACCTCTCTCTCCATGGCCTGAAACGAACAATTAAATGGGGAAGGACTTGTGAAACAGAGTATTGAGCATGCTAACCTGTGGGCAGCTTTCAACTGAAACAAGGCCTGTAAATTAAGCTCAGGTGAAGTTAGCAACATCACTTGTTTGTTTGTTTCATCATCCTAACTTTGAACTTTACAGCCCAGGTTTGCTTCACACAAAGGAAGCTGATATAAAACACGTGGACTAGCAAACACACTAAAGCAGCCGAAAAATGAACCGAAGTACAGCAAACACCTTTCCCACGTGATGCTGCAACTCTTGCAATACTGAGGTTTAAGCCAACCACAGTAGGCATTCTCCAAACCAAGGCAGCTAAGTCAGGAGCCTGAAAGAATTTGAAGGCGGGGGACTTCAAAGGGAACTGAAGTAACAGCAAAGGGGGAAACTGAGGCAGCTACACTGGAGTCAGGCAATCAGGAGTCCAGGTTGTGCATACAACTGGTTGTAATATGGATGTTTCCACCTAAGTCTGCTTAAGGAATGCAAATAAACCCCTAGGTCTGTTAGTATAAAATACTCTGATCTGCATGCAGTAGCAGCTCCTTCTTGGTTGAATCTGGGGTAGCAAAATAAGAAAAACATCTGGTTTCCCTTGTACTGAGCACCACTCTGTAGACTTTGTAAACTCTGGATTTGCTAGCCCTTTCCAAATCAATCCTCAATAGGCAAAAAAGGAGGTGCTCAATTAGATCAGCACGACTGCAACTCCGAAGCAGCCAAAATTCATACAAGTAGGGGAACCTGAACTCCCACTCCCTGTGGAATAGCATAACTAAGTTAACTCCTGTGACCACTGTTACATGCAGTGCAACCATGCCCAGTGTGCATACAAGACTCTGCGAGATCCTGAGGACGTACACAAGATGCTCAGGTCCCCCACAAGCAATGCAATACCATGGATCAGCAAAAGCGTATTTTTCAGGTTCTAAGAGGTAGAGCCAATATAACCGTATGAATCAGGTTAGCACTGCTCTGGGAGACTGTTGTTAAACCTGGACTAATTTTTGTCCTGGCAGCAGAAGCCCCACAAACCCTTAGGTTAGCACAACTGAAGGAGTGTGTGGAGCATATTAAATCCTTAAAACCAGCTTTATTGCTGACCCTTGCACCGTGAAGTCACAGCTGCAGACACTCGGTAAGTGCAAGTTCTTAAGATTTCAAAAAGCCTTAAGAACCACCTATAATAACTGGAGTTCCTTGCAGGTGTTTCACAGCCTTCTGTTTTGTCTAACAGACTGTCAGCTATGGTACCTCTGTGAGCGGAGAAAAGCGTTCTACTGTTTTTTCTGAGCTTGGGAATTTCTTTTCTTCCACACCAAGGGCAGATGACTTTCTGGGCAGAACAGGTGCCAGATGTAATTGGAATAATACCTCTTCTGAGATTTCAGCTCCATACTGTCTCTGTTAGACAAAAGGACATTAAGGTAGCAAGCAAGCACAGATTTGTTTGCTAGGGGATAGTGTAGAAAATCTTGCTCATGTATAAAACTGGAAGGGCTTTTGTACACACATCCAACCAGCAAACTCCAAAGTTACTTTTTATTGATGACTGCATTCCAACTGTGCACCCATGTAGTGCTGCACTCAAAACTAAACAGAGGCAGGAGAGGCAGAAAGTTAGTTTGGCTTGGACTAGCATTAAATATCCCAGCAAAGCCTCCACATGCTGAGATTGAGATTAATATTTCTGATTTCCATGATTAAAATTTTATTTTTGATCTCAATCCTGACCAGAGACGAAAGTCAAAGAGATGTACTTCCTACCTCACAAAACAAGACAAGACTAAAGATACCGCAGTCCAGCTTTGCGGGTCAACTAAGTCTGTGCACTGAAGACTTTGAAGCTATACCCAACACATTAAAGGTGAAGAATAAAAATAGTATAGCGTAGTGTGCTTACAATAGTCCAGAAACAAAATTAATGGCAGCGGGAAACCCTTTGTGATAGCGCTACTCATCAAATAATGCTCCCGCTTTCCCTGGGAAAAACAACCGGGACACATATATTATTAAGTAATGTATTTAAGTGAAGAGTGCAAAAATTTCTGATCACAAATAGCTATATTTTCCTGAAAAGTGAAATAATGAGTAACACAAGCTTACCCCTGCAATGGCTTGTTTCACTGGTCTTCCCTGTTCATGAGAGTTTTCTGCTGGTGTGTAGTACCTGCGAGGAGAGGGAGAGAGAAAGAGAGAGAGAAGTGAGCTGTATAACCGTACTGTCCCATGTAATTCTCAAGAATTCACCTTCTGGATAAGAAATGCTTTTTCAAGGCTGATTCTGACTAGAGCCTCAGTTGCACACATGAACATGTGACAACATTGTCTCAGCTTCCAGCACTATTCTTTCGTAGCAGCAAGACTGGGATAGAATGAAGAGCTGGGAGCTTTGCAAACTTTCTTCCATCTACATGTGCAAGACTCCTTTTGTTTCTCTTTATCAGTTTCATTATTTGGAAAACAGGGAAGCAACCAGCGCTTCCTCTATCAAGTGCTTTGTGATCTACTGATGATAAATACTGCACGCTAGGTGTTATACTGCAAGGTATAACATGAACATCTGCAACTATACTTGTATCCAAATATAGTTAGCTTAAGGAAACTAAGACCAGCACATTGAATTAAAAATGGGACAGCTACAGGATGTATACTTGCCTTCTATAGGCTAGTCAAGAGAGTGACTATCCCCATTTGGAGAGGATTATCATTAAAACCACGCAGACTCTGAAGAGCAAACAAATACACAGACATTAAAGTTGTCCATATATATGTCCCTTCTTCAAAAATGAGAATCTGCATTGTCACCAAAGATCCCCTTTTTCAGGAGGGAGACCTACAACAGACTCTCATTGGTATCCTACACTCATTATGCTTTAAAGGCTTTCAGTCCAGCACAGTAAGAGTAGATATCACAAGCTTTGACGAATTACTTCAGTTAGCAGCTAAATCTGCAGAAAAAGGCAAGAAAATGTTCTTTTTACTTGAACCCATTATACTCTATCAGTTATTTTATTTCCTTCTCTCCCCTTAAGCTTAGGGGAACCGGTGACAATTTAAGCACAGAAACAGTGCTGCACAGCTAAATATAGCGCTCGTGTCTAAAGAAAGGAGAAGAATAGGGACAGAATTAGCTAAAAAACAGGACTGCCACAACTGAATCTCTCTCTGCTCCCATCTATGCTTTCTCTTCTCTCATTTAAGGGAAGGTCACTGCAGAAAGATGCGTGCATCAGACTGCCATACAAAATCTCTCCCTGTAGCTGCACTTACTGCAACCAAAAAGCTATTTCCCTCAACAACACAAAGCCATCTGAACTCATAGTCCTGCCAGCTCAGACAGGCAATACAAACGAGTCCACTGGCCTCTCAAACAGGCAGACAACCCAACTGCATGCTTTCTTTTTGGTCTCATATTCAAACTCAAGGCGTCCTGTAAGTCACAAAAACTGCCTCAGTCTCACCGGGCTTTACAAGCTCTCTAATCCTTATGCTTAGGATCCTAGTTTCAAAGTGAAAGAAATGAAATGTCAGCTCATTAATGGTTTGGCAGAAAGACACTCACAAGCAAAAATGGATTCTGCAAATCCAAGGACAACTTGGTACGGCCACCACTCTCACCCTCACTGGCTTTCTTCCCACAGCGAAGGACCCAGCAAACACCACAACAGCACAACCCTGGTTGTCACACAGCACGGCTCTAGTATGGGAGCTGTGTCTGAGATGCAACTGGCTTGTGAGCAATTCCAGAGCCACAAGCTAGCTACTCCTCTTCCACAGCACTGACCATAAATACAGTTTGTCTTTTCTGGATACTATTGGAGGCTGAAAGAGACATGCACACAGAGCCAAAAGAAACAAGAACCATGATTAGAAGAGACTACCTGATCGTATCACTTCTCTGAGACCACTGTGGGCTGCAAGCATCTGCACATTTGATACCTGCACAGAAAAGCAGTAATATGAAAACAAGAAGTCAACTTTCAATTACCATCAGACATACGTAGCTCTCGGTTTCAGGGTGATAAATACAAAAAAAACTTTTAAATGACGGCTGCATGGTTAGGAAGTTTGAACTCTGGCAAACAGTTTGAACTTTGAATATCATGTGCAAGTGTATGAGAGCTGAAGCAGGGCATTTATTAAGTTTTAAATTCTAGATTGCACGCTTGACTAAACGAGTGATTTTTGCAAAACCAGATGCTCCTCCAGGCTTAGAAGAATAGCTTGTCATTTTCCATGACAAAACAAGCTTTCCCCGAATTCTAGCACCTGCTCAGAAATAATTTCAAAACCCATATGATTGCATAATAAAGTCACAGATATGTAAAAAGAAGTAATGATGAAAAATTATTTAAGTAATGAGCAGAGTAAAAAAAGACTGGGACAATATTAAATGTATACACACTAACACGTGGTATTATAACATACTCCTGGTACAAAAGAAAACAGCAATTTAACTAGCCCACTCTACAGAAGACAACTAAGGTCACCTTCAGTAGTTACATATCTTCAACTCACTAAAGATGATCTACAAAAGAAGCTAACTTGATATAAACAGTGGTACTGTGCAATCAGTTTACTTGGTTTCAAAGTTCTGCTATCATAGAAATAGTCATGTATAGCATTAAAAAGGAATTAAAGAGTAACACATAACTGCAACTGAGTTAAGTAATGGGCATCTAAGGGTATACAGTAATGTATCACCCTCCACTAGTACAAACAGCCAGATACTACGAAGTTCTCCCGTATGGTGCAGAGTTATATCTGCAGCTACAAGTATCACCGGTACAGTAACGTGTCTCAAGTACAATTTTAAACAAACTTTTGCACTTCAACAAAAACCTCACAAAGCCATAGCCAGCTATGGTTTGGGGGGAGTGTTCCCCCCTCTTTTTTTACCCCTTTCTTTCCAGAGACAGCTCATTTCATTCCAAGAGCTGACATAAGCTATACTAGCATAAACACGCTGGCTGATTTAGATTTCTTTATAAATAGAGATTAATGATACACTAGCACTGACAAATCTTTTTAGTTTAATCTATACCTTCAAGACTTGAGGAAATGGCCTGTTTTGATCTGAAGTCTACCTACAAAGTGGAACAGATATGAATCATGGGGATACTCACTGGTCCTTAGTGTCATACATGGATAGACATCTCCTCCATATTTTTGTTCTTCCAGGTGACTCACAGTCATCACTGGTTCCTTGGAGTAGGCTTGAATACTTCGGTGCAGCAAAAAACAACAGAAAAGAATCACAATTTTTATACATATGGCATTTGTTATCAGTGCATACCAATTCACTAGAAAGGATATAGTTTATTCATACACAACTGTCTACATTAGAGTTGGAAGCCATAGTTAAAGCAATAGAAATATGTAAAGTAAAATTAGGCTGTTTAATCCCTTGACAGAAACATCCCATCTCCTGCACTGGTTTCATGACAAAATGCAAAGGGTGTTTCCATTCAGAAGCTTGGCTACTTTCAGTTCAGGCATACTGAAGATACAGGAGTCAAATTTTCTGTCTCCAGAATTTCAAGAGAGACATGAATCAATCATGAAATTTGATTCCTTTACCTTTTCACCAGCAAATCAGTGGCTCTTTTGTTTTTTTCTTTAAGAAGAAAAAGTATTCTTTGCACATCCTACAAATATCTGCATTAATCTGAGGAGACCACTTTATTTTATGGGACAAGACAGCATTCATTACAACCATCCTTGACAAATTCTTTCCAATCTATTTATTAAAGATTATGCTGACGCTGAGAATGCAATGTCTACCACATACATACTTCTGGGACATTTTACTTCAGACCTGCTCTACTCTGACCTCAAGGACTACATGCTTATTAGTAGTTGTAGTGCATTAGACACATTCCACAGGAACGCTCTCTGGTTTAGCTTCGTCTGAAAGGAATCTGTTTCATATGCTCCAGGTCTGCTCTGAGATATGAGCCAAACCACAATAATCAATGACTGGGAGATTAGATGCCGAAAGCAGAGTCTTGACCCACCCTAAAATGCTATTGCCAGTGCACCTAAAATTATATGAGATACTGTTTTCCATATCATTTTCATGCACCAGAATGTTTAAATATGATACGCTGTTCTGAAGTCGTGTGTTTACATGTTTTCTAGCTGTGAACCACTGGGCGGAGACTGGGATTTTTCTAAGTCTTGGTAACAACCCATGTTTCACAACACTTAAAGGAAACTGCAAGAAAGCATGGCATTTTCTACTGTCTTACTGTATAGAAAGGCATGCTGGAACTTCAGCACCATCTTTGCATCACTACTGTACAAGGATTAGGCCCCTTCTGAACAGCTTTGAAGTGTAATTATTCCACTAAGATAATGGCTTCCATTATTTTTGTGTTTTTTACTTGTGTCACTTACTTTGTGCAATCCCTTGACACAGTTATATCAAATATAATCATCACTGGTAATATATGAATCAGAATTACACACAAGTTTCCCTTTGCAGGTTGCTTTATAAACTGGAATTCTACACACGAGTGGGATTTTGTCAATTTAGTGTACTGCAAAGAGAAAACTTCCTATAATTTGTGCAAGAAGCACTGGGGGAGGTAGAAAGGAACAGAGAAAATTCTGGCATTCCCTGTGTTTACCTTAAGTTCCACATTCTCAGATAAAACAGGATTCCTGATCAAGGAAAAACTCATCAATTGCAAACAAGAGGAAGATGAATTCTTTTTAATAGTGCTACAGAGTAACCAGTGCTGTGGATTTTTATACTAGAAGTTACACTGCCAGCACTAGAACTAGATACTACCTTTCTTAACACAGAGACAACAAAGAAGTATCAGAAAGAGAAACATATCCATATCAACAAAGGAATCTTCACCTTTAGAATATACATTCAAAGAACATTCATGCTTCATTAGAATCATAGAATCATTAAGGTTGGAAAAGACCTCTAAGATCATCAAGTCCAACCGTCACCCCAACACCACCATAACCACTAAACCATGTCCCTAAGTGCCTCATCTACACGTCTTTTAAATACCTCCAGGGACTGATCAAGGAAAAACTCATCAATTGCAAACAAGAGGAAGATGAATTCTTTTTAATAGTGCTACAGAGTAACCAGTGCTGTGGATTTTTATACTAGAAGTTACACTGCCAGCACTAGAACTAGATACTACCTTTCTTAACACAGAGACAACAAAGAAGTATCAGAAAGAGAAACATATCCATATCAACAAAGGAATCTTCACCTTTAGAATATACATTCAAAGAACATTCATGCTTCATTAGAATCATAGAATCATTAAGGTTGGAAAAGACCTCTAAGATCATCAAGTCCAACCGTCAACCCAACACCACCATAACCACTAAACCATGTCCCTAAGTGCCTCATCTACACGTCTTTTAAATACTTCCAGGGATGGTGACTCAACCACTTCCCTGGGCAGCCTGTTCCAATGTTTAACCGCTCTTTCAGTAAAGAAATTTTTCCTCATGTCCAATCTAAACCTCCCCTGGCGCAACTTGAGGCCATTTCCTCTCGTCCTTTGCAGGGAGATAAGGGGGTTGTCAGTCTTTTAAAAATTAGTTTGCCCCAACACCTGCCCTGGGACGCTGTCCAGAACCCTGACAGCAGGAAAGATTAATTCCCCTCCACTGCCATGTACAACAGCTACAAAGTTACCACCAAAAAGTTAATGGTTATTTTTCTTATAATTACTTGCAGAAGCTTGTCAGCTGTGGATTAGGGCGGCTTCTAGGATATTTTTCCTTTACCAGTTCCAAGAGCTGTTTGTATTTCTCCTTTTCTCCTCGCTGAACATCCTAGCAGAATGGAGGGAAAAAACAAACAGATTAGAATCACTGCATATGAAGCAAATGTTTGTAATCTGGGTATAGTGTGGACTGCACAGGCTGTTCCCAAAATACTGGCACATTATTCAATATTCAAGTTTACTTTAGCAGGAATTCCCACACCTTCATTTTGTGTTAGCCCTGCTCTAGGAACTTGTGTCCCACTATAAACCTCAAAATTCCTTCTGCAACTGTTTCCTCAAATGGGGGCCTCTTCTCTTCAGCTGTGGTCTGCACCTCCTGCATAATAATTCAGGCTAATACACATTCCTGTCAATATACATAATGATTGGGTGCTATGAGTCCCCAGGGTATCTTAATCATACTCCACAGCTTGCCATGGCCTGCTTCTCCAGTACATCGGTGTAAGTTATTCTCCCATGTAAGCTAGGTTTATCAGGAATTTTCCAATAGTTGCTTCAGATATTGGAAGGAAAGGACAGGGAAAGACCTCTCAGATAGTCCTGTAAGGAAGGATTATCAGCAACTGAGTGTTTTTTTGCCTACATTATGCTTTTAAAGTTGCTATGTAAAGATTACAGTTGAGCTAGGTTAATGACAAAATAGTGAAACAACTCTGCCACAAATATACACTTAGTGACAAGGCAGTACAGCTCCACTTACAAGTGAAACTGGCTGGAGGATCCTCCCCCAGTACACCATTTCCATGAAAATGGTTTAAAATTCAATCTTGTGGCAACAAAGCACTGCTCTGTTCTAAGACTTGTTGCATGTAAAGGCAAATAAAATGCTATATGCTGATTTTCCAGAAGCATTCCTGCATTAACTACACCCACTGTGCTGTTACAAACTGCCACTTCAGCGTTTACATACAGTTTTGTTATAACTGCTAAGTTGTTTCATTTCAAAAGACACCTTTCTCACCCAGCGTACCTCTTCAGCAGTACAGAAAAGCCTCCCCATTTTGCTGACTTCTGAAGTCGTGGATTCTGGCACAGTGCGCTCCTTAATCGGTGGCCTCAGTGTTAAGATGCTGTCTGGAGCAGGTTTGATGCGGTGTTTGCCATTCCTGCTTGTGCTAAAGACATCAACAGCAAAAGAAATAGTATCAAGAGAACATTCAAATATGCACCTCCTGATTCAAGCTCCACCACCAACTATTTTGTAAAGCATGTACAATGATGATGATGGAGACAGACACGAGATGCTTACAACTTTCAGATGAAGACCTGCTGTCTTCAACTGGCTAATGGGAAAATACAGAGAAGTAAAAGTGAAAATCAGAACAACTGTCTTGAATATACACTGTTGTTTGATCTGCACGTCACAACCGCACTCAGAGGCACATGTTATGTCCATGGCAGTCCAAGTCCTGAGTCAATACAGAAGATTAAAGAACCATGCAGGTATGTTATTCATACCATCCAACCCTCAGCTCTTCTAAAAGCCAGTGCACTGGCACCGAAGAGTAACTGCTGCTTGCCTCACAGAATCATTCTGGCAGAGATCTCTGGACATCATCTGGTCCAAACCCCTGCTCAAGCAGGGTCATCCACAGCAGGTTGTCCAGGTTCATGTCCAGCTGGGTTTTCAAACATCTTCAAGGACGGAGACTTTACAACCTCTGTAGGCAACCTGTGCCAGTATCTGACCACCGTCAGAGTAAAAAAGCGTTTCCTGATGTTCAGACGGAATTTTCTGGTTTTCAATTTGTGCCCATTGTCTCTTGTCCTGTCAGTGGGCACCACTGAGAAGAGTCTGGCTCCCTCCTCTTCATTCCCTCCCTTCAGATGTTTATATACATTGATGGGATCCCTCTGAGCCTTCTCTTCTCCAGGCTGAACAGTTCCAGCTCTCTCAGCCTCTTCTCACAGGAGAGATGCTCCAGTCCCTTAATCATCCTTGTGGCTCTTCACTGGACTTGCTCCAGTAAGTCCACATCTTCCTTGTGCGGGGGAGCCCAGCACTGGACACAGCACTCCAGAGGTGGCCTGAGTAGACAGGAAGGATGACCTCCCTCGACCAGCTGGCAACACTATTCCTAAGGCAGCCCAGGATGCTGTTGGCCTTTGCCACGAGGATGTATCACTGGTTCATGGTCAGCTTGTTGTCCATCAAGACCTCCTTCTCTGCAGAGCTGCCTTCCAGCTGGTCAGCCCCCAGCATGTACTGCTGCATGGAGTTGTTCCTCCCCACTTGCAGGGCTTTGCATTTCTGCTTGTTGAACTTCATGAACTCTCTGCCCAGTTCTCCAGCCTGTCCAATTCTCCAGCCTGTCCAGGTCCCTCTGGATGGCAGCACACCCATCGGGTGCATCAGTCACTCCTCCCAGTTTTCTATCACCTGTGAACTTGCTGAGGGTGCACTCTGTCCCATCGTTCAGGTCATTAATGAAGATGTTAAATAGCGCTGGCCCCAATACTGATCCCTGGGGTACACCACTACTGACTGGCCTCCAATCAGACTTTGCAACTTTGTCCCCATAGCACCTCCAAGCTGCGGTATACACAAGACTATCAATTCAATTTTGACACTGGAAGGCAAAGAGTAGCATCAAATCACGTCATGACCCATTCCCTCCTCCTTCCAGCTATTTCTGACTCTGAGGTAAGTGTACAAACAGTGCCTTAGCATCCCCCAAACAATAATTCAAAACAAATGCAATGTAAAGGCTAGTCCTTTTATCAAATCAGGAACTATTTTATGCCAAACATCATGGAGGTTTTTTTGAGAAGGTTGTCGGGTTTTTTGTTGTTGTTTTTTTAAAACAACAACTTATTTTTTCCTGTCAAATTAACTATGTAGGACCTTTTCACAAGCATTCCTGGTCCCAGCCTCTTCTCAAGTTCAACACTTCCTCCTACCACAGACCTTTAATCTTTATCTAATCTCCCGTGTCTATGAAGTACCTGGATTTAAAGAAAAAGTTTAAAGTTGGTTGGAGGAAAAAAAAAAAAGCAGTTGGAGACCTCCCTTTGTATAGCACCCTGGAGGAGTTCCAGAATACCTTGGAAAAATATTATTATGTGGACACAGATACAAGCGTTAGGCAACACAGAGGAAGTTCCAAGAATGAAAGTGAAAGACAGCAAACCTTTCAGAGAAGTCAAAGAAAACAGAAGGATTTTTACCTCAGACACGGAATTGTCTTGTGAGAAAGGGATAGTGTTTCCTTTTTCAAGCAAGTATTGGTTCCACAAGGCATTTTATCTACAAGAGAAAAGCATAAGCCATCAGTAACTATAAAAGGAAACTAAAGAGTTTTATGAGTTTACTGTAAACAGCTTCACCAAAGATAAATTATTTTCATTTTCTCTCTTACATCATAACATTATTTGTGTTATGTTACTTTAGGATATTTTCAGATTTTCATACTGGCAACTACAGAAAGTTGTGCACACAAGGTATTGCTAGCCTAAACCTGAAATAAAAAAGGGTTATCAGGATCTACTACCTAAAATTAGCATTTAAAACAATTTACTTCTGGCAAGCTAACAGTGGACACATCAGAACTGAAGGACTGCATCCAAGGCAGCTCTTGTACTGAGATGACAAGATAAACGTCCGGCCCCAATCCAGAAGCAATGGAAGGGTGCAGGGAAGAAACAGAGTTCACGCTCAAGTATTCCTAGATGCTACCTAGATGTTGTGCCTGCAATAATCTGTACATAAGCCTAGGGGTAGAGCTGCACAGTACACAAGATAGGGTGAGAAAGAAACGAGTTAATAACTTGATGTCAGCCTTACCAATTTGTAGCATTTCTATTTCTACCGCAGAACCTGTTGGTCTTTTAGATGAACGGTCAGCAGTGGACTGAGTCTTAAATCAAAACAAAAAAAGTACCAACATGAGTATAACCTGAATGTGAATCCAAGCAAACAAACTTCCTGAAATTTAGTCAGCTCTATTAGGACTTGGGGACCATGATTTGCTGGTTCAGATTGTAGCAGAATGCAAATCTTTGCAGGATCTCTGACAAGTACACTTCAATTTTTTTTTAATACAGGCTCTCATACGTGCAGTGATTAAAACAATACAAGCTCATTGCTGAGTTCTCTTCAGTCAGCTCCTAAACATTCCAAAGTGTGACAGTTTAGCCCCTGAAAAATATATTTTGTACAAATAAGAGTTAACAACTCTCTCTGGAACGAATAATTAGAGCGTGACAGTTTCTTGTATCTCTTATCCTATGGGGCAATAAGAAAAATAACACTACACCTTTGAACCAAACTATGGAGTCACGCAGTTCATGACTCATTTTTACAGAGTCAAAGTTCTACAGGAATCCTCTCCTGGACTGGTGGACAACGAACCTAGCAGAAAGAGGTTTATCCAGAGGAAGAATGCAGTTTTTCTTGTACTGTAATGTATTTTGACTCCTTAACTACAAGCTTGAGAAAGAGAGTAACAGTTAACAAACACACTAAAACTATCAACTGGAACAATTGTAAAGTATCTGGAAGACAACAAACATTTAGCTCCTTCCTCAGCCACAAGTGCTAGAGCAGAGTCCGCAAACTTGAGTAAGGCAAACCCAGCACACAAGAGCTGCCTGCTATAAATGGAAAAGAAGAACCTACTGCTGTACAGGCTCAGAGCAGGCCCAACTTCAAGATGCATTAGGGAGAGCCACTTCCTCTTTCATCTTCCACAGATTCTACCTACTTTCAAAATTCTTGCTAACCTCTTCCGCAGACTCTGTGATTGGAGCGGCATTGCTGACTGAAGCCTTCTGGCGTTCACTTGTTGTCTTGGCTGGCAACTTCACCACAGCAGAAACTTCTTCAACTTTCTCTTTACACTCAGATATGGCGTAATCTAAAAAACAAAGACCGGCCATATGAGAACATGATTTAAAAGGGGATTAGGATTTCTATTTGCATTAAAGCCCATCTCCTTAATCCCACCTAAAGCAGTGTAACTCATTTCAAGTTACACACCCTTCTGCTAACAGCAGTTGGTAGTGACATTTGTATTAGTTGGCTCACTGCACAGTCCTTCAGAGCCAGAGCTCAAAGACTAACCCGTGAGTCTGCCAGCCAGATCTGCAAAAACACCCTACTTTTGGGAACATTCCCTGTTTCCAGAGAAGCAGCACAGGGTGCAATTTATCCTCCTCATCCCCTCCATGCATGCATGTACTCTTCCAGTTTATTACGTGTCACTCTTGTCTAGTTGAGAGAAGCTGCTCACTGCGGTCTAGAAATCAAAGCTACCCAAGCCTGTTCTTTTCAGTATTAAAGAAGCAGAGACATGCAAGGCCTCAGATAGTATTGCCAGACATCAGCAAGCCAGGGCTGTCTAATAAGGGGCTGTGTTAGAGATTAAATCATATTAGACAACAGCATTTGTTTGAAGATAAGAGAACGGTATTTTAGCAGACAAGGGCATAGATGGTACCACGTTCTTAGAAGCAGATTTGGCCTACTTACTAAGACGTGGGAATTGTTCCTACCAAGAGTTGGTCACGTTGCTAAAAGGAGGAGGGATAGGGGAGCAAGACATCAATTTGACATATTTTTCAATTGTTTTATGGTCTTAAGTCTGAAAAGCACACTAACAGTTCAGCAGCCCCTACCATTAAATAAAGGGTAGCATCTTTTGCCAAGCAGTAACTAGGAAGCGCCACATCTCCCCATAGAACTTGTGCTAGGAAATGTCGTACAGCCTAAAAAGCATCGTTTCTCCCTCTTTATCAGTAAAGATGGAAAAGGGGAAATGTCCATCTCAAATCATGACCAATGCAGCTGGCATCCAGAGGCACCGACATGGCTGCAGGCAGATACATAATTTTACCCTTAAACACTCTGTGGAGCAGGTATCAGAGAAAGCCTCACCGAAGACAGAACTTCTCTATCCCACTGTTCTCTCCTATGCCTGGCCTCTGCTGCATCTCCAGCCTTCTTTACTCATCCTTCCTCTACCTCTTCAAAATGCACATGCCAAAACTTTCAGATTCAGACTAAACTGACTCTTCTGTTTTCAGTTCAGCTTTCCCCCCCCCCCAACCTCATTAGCTCACAGAAATACCATTTTTCTCTGCCTGCCATCAGTTTAAAGTTACCTTTCTTCATATCCCAGATTTCTCATGAGACATATGAGTATTTTGAACTAACAGAGGTACATCATGAATATAAATAGGAGGGAGCACACAGCTTTGATTTAAAATACTCATTCTGCTGACATGCATGTGCCCACTGCCAGAGACCTGTGATATCTTCTGCTGGCAGTAAAAGTATTGTGCCCTGCCACAGGCAACACAGATAACATCATATATAGGGCTAGGCCCAATGATACACCCTCAGGTCACTGGCTACACAGATGGCCACAAGGAAAGAACGGCTTGAAAAGCCACGGTTTCAGCAATAATGCTGCAGTACAAAGGCCGGAGTTTCCTAAGGTACATGAAACCTGAGAAAAATCAGGCATCTTAAATACTTCTGTAATGTGCAATACCTGATCTTTGCTTTTTCGCTCGAGCCTGGTCAGGATCTTCCACAGGTGGCCGAACACTGAGGAAAGAACACACAGAACGGTGTTTTGCTTCAGGTAAGGTAACAGGTAAGCTTCTAAGAGAACAGGTAAGCTTCTAACAGGCTGACTTCCCTTCACAGGGCCTGAACTTCCAAAGTTAGTTTTCATATCCCGAAGGTCTCCCCCTCCAAGCGCCCCTGGGATCATCTCAGACACACACACCCAACTGCCAGGGCTGAGCATCTCTCATCAACACCCCCCACCTCTCCCAGTCAACGGACCGCTCACAGACAGCTAATTATCCCACTAAAGCATATTAGGCCTCTTTTTTTCGTTCCATTAATGCTTCCTAACGTTTTACATTTGTTCCTATCACTAAAAAAAAACGCTTAAGTTAATATGTAAAGTTTTCCTCTTTCCTCAAGGAAAGAAGCATACCAGAGATTACTAAGCCATCTAAGTTCATAAGTCACTACACTGAGCTGCAAAGAAAAGTCTAAGTAGGACAGGAAATAAAAGGTGGGAAAGCAACTCATGCATACACTTAAATAACTTACTACTAAATCAGTGCTTGTGAACTAGTTCTTGAAATAATTCTTAGCTGCACCCTTTCTTACAAAGTATAAGTCCAAGTATTATATCAGTTGATAACAATGATAAAATTTAGTAAAAAATTTTACTTTGGGAACAGAGCGCAAAGGTTGTTCCTAGTTTGTTTTTTTTTTTCCATTTGCCTCCAAAAATGCCATGAGACAGCAAGGATTCTTTGAAGAATTCTTTGGTCTTCCTTAAACACAATAATTTCTTTTTAACTGTTATGCTCCCAAACCCTGCTGGTATCATTGCTTCTGGACTATCTTCTGTCTGTATCAGGAGCACAAAAAGTAACCGATATCCTTAACGGCACCTTTCATACAATATAAAGAATATTTGCTATTACTATGCTATTAAAGTCAAGCAGAAAATATTGGGGGGTAAGTGTTAAAGGCAACTATATTCCTACAAAAATGCATTCTTACTCAGCATATTTGATATTTCAGAAGGTAGAACTGAAGAAGACAAAATATTTGTATCCTCCTGCTTAATTTTTAGCAAGAGCTAACTAATTCTGAGCTGCTCTTCAGTGAAAACTGAATGCACAACCCTGTGAGAAGGTTAAACTGTGTCATTGCAACCGGGGTTTGCCAAGGGCCTGGGAGAAACAGGTAAGTGCACAGGGTGTTGAGTAATATTTGAAACACGCTGAAAAAATGGGCCAGAAAATAAAAGCAATTTGAGACCGCTCCCCATGTAAAGATGCGTTCATGTCTTTCTCCACACTCTAGAGAAGACAGCACCTATTTATGCCCAGCATTTTACTTGCCTCCTTAGCAACTACAGGAAAAAAATAAAGTATTAGAAAAACTCAGTAACTCTGCATACACCCATATAAGCTCAGGCCCTCTTCTCAAAAACTCCTCCCCCACCAGTGTTGAGGACAGTTCCTCAAGATTTATAATTTAAATTTGTAAAAAATTCAAGTTTTCACAGGTTAACCCCCCAAAAAAATCTGCGCTTCAGTGGTGCAGTACAAGAGTAGCTAACGCTTATCTACTTTCCCCAGCAGTTTCACCACCCATGCCCTTAATTTTTCAACTTTCTACCATGGGAAAAACTCAAGTGGCAGAAATAACAACCACCCTGTGGTTTAGATTTCCTTGAAGAGACTCACACAGGGGAGCTGAAAACATCTTTGCCATTTTACAGCATATCTCAGGGAGCACTGTTAGAAAACTTATTTTCAGCAGGGCAGCTTCTGAAGCCACCTAACAGTGTTTCACTTGAATTTCATCCTAATTGCTTCGCCTGTCATTCCAAGTGATCTCTTGGCAAAACTGGGTCTCCTGGTCAGATCGTGACACGACAGCCTGCAGCGTCTACAAAGGCGCATTCTTCAGTTTGGGATTGTGCTCTGCACAGCAGCTGTGAACAACTAATTGTGCAACAACTGGCTCTTTCCAGAAGACGTTCACTTTTCCCATTCACTCTGGAACATGAGACACTAAGCAGAGCCTCCTGGAGCAACAGTTTCTCACAGAGGGAGCAACCACGCTCCCCAAAACATGGCATGTAATCCATACGTTCCCTCTCTTCAGAGAGACAGAAGCAACAGGCACGGAGATGGCTTAGCCATCTGTCACTGGGAGCTCTGGGGCACTTGCAACAGTTAATGCCTGAGAAGGCATCCCCCTTTCTTCCACTCCACATACATACCATATCCCCATGCCATGACTTTCCTCCATCCAATATACCCCTATATGTATATACACTGTTCTCTGCTCCTTCAACACACGTACTCCAAGTCTCCACCCCTTTTCTTCTTTTCAAACCCCCACTGTGCAGATGGAAAGCGAACGAGGGGATGGGTTTGCCAGCGGACTTATCGGGAACATCTGAAACCCACAATCACCTCAGCACCACACGCGAACAACCGTGACTGTGGGCACAGGGTGACCCGACAGCGGCGTAAGCCACGAACAGCCACACAGGCCAACAGCCGGGCCAGAAGAAGGGGCGCAGCCTGCTCTGCTTCACCCACTCCCGTGCCAAAGCGGGAAAGGGCGGTGGATGGGCACGGATGTCCTGGGAGCCCATCACGAGCCCTACCACCCTGGAGGGGGGGGTTTCTGGGCGGGCAGAGGGGCCGAGCCCAACCCAGGGGCGGGCAGCCAGAGCGAGGGGAACCCCAGGGCAAGACACCACACTGCACCCGAGCTCACGATGCAACAGAGCGACTGACGCCACTCCCGCCCTCGGCTCAAACACCTTAGGCCAAGGAGAGGCGGCTGAGGCGCCGGGCTCCGGGCGGGCTC